ATTTCACATTGTATAAGCTTGATCCTGCTTTAGTTTGGTATTTGCGAAATCTTCCTCTAAAAATCTAAAATTAGAAGGCTTTCACTGAAGTTACCACAATTATTATCAGAAGAATATATGTGGGTTGATCACTTGCAATTTATGAACGAAATTTTGGTACCTGAACTAGAATTCGACTTTCTTGTTTTCTGGGCCGAAAGCTACGAGAGTAGTGACCTACCGCCCTTCAAGGACGGAATAGAGTAGATTTTGGACGTAACAGCTGTATATAACTTAAACTAGGGTGTTTGCAATCTCTACTTTCATATAAAAGACTGTCCATTTATTTTGCCATTCAATAAACATACCACTTCCTAACCTAAACGTTTACATTCTGTTCATGCAGCTTTTCACAAGTTGGTAATTAACACTAGTAGGACTGTGTTGTATAGTTTTCGGTGTTATCAAATGTAGTATGAATTCCACACGATATATTTCTGTGTTATGTTTCTAAGCTCGTTTGTTAATCTAAGAAATGTTAAGTTTCTGGAGGACTGAAACCTAAATAATAATCTTTTTACGATCAGGATTTAACTAAATGCCCATGGATATTCAGTAGGACTTTATTCTCTACCATAACGTAAGCTTTATGAACGTTATATATTGCCCACTTATCTGTTGTATTCGTCCTAACTGATCTACGGTGTAAACTCTAGATGGTAGTAGTTTAGATACGTAAAACCGAATAGATGATCAAATATAATTCCAGGGAAAAAAATCATACACAGTCCATTCCCATCACAGAATCGGACAGACACACTATATGCATAAGGAGAAATCGTAAGACAGATTACAGAATTTTGGATATCCATTTAGGCTGTGGTGGTTGTGGTGCTGGTGTCAACTGACGCTTTCTCTGTATGTTATTCTGCACCTAACTCAAATTCCAAATTTAGTAACTTCGATTATGCCCACGATATTCTCTTTGCTTCAAAAACTGTTAGAATACAATTTTGATATTTCTGGGTATTACTAGTTGACATAACGAAGTTGACCACTTGTGATTACTGGATGATACTTCTAGCAGTACCATATCATTGTGCAAATTCGTAGTGAACATTCTCGATGAACCTAGCTCTTCTCAGTCACCAAGAACATTACATTTAACAACCGCGTTTTTTTCTTTCGGGATGGCTGTGAAGTCAATAAAAGATTATCCTCTTAGTATTTCAGTTATTTTCGGTCTACAAAGTTCCCCAGAGTCATACTACTTGCTGATTGACATTGATAGTTTTGTCGCATATACAAAAATCTGAAGTGATTGGGTAATATAGTATTTAAACGGTGACAGCACAATACGTATCACTTTCGAGCTTCCTGTGGAAACAAGAGCGATAAAAATTTGTTTTAGGACATTAGCACGGTTATATGAAAAGAAGCAGCTTGCATTCCGTTAAAAGGAAGAATAAGTGAACGGTAATCATTTTGATTAATTTTCTTCACTGTACTGACTGATACTACTTCCAAGCAGTGAACAAGTTGTCACGACCGTAAAAATCTTTGTTCTCTTGTTTTGATTAACATTAGCTCGCACTTTGTTATACCGATAATTCAGTTAACTAATCTGTTGTCAGTTATTTTGCCTATAGCTTTCAAGATCAATGGCTCTTACGGGACAGCCATTCAGTGATCATATAACAGCCAAGTGAGAACTCAATACAAAGATCATAATAACAATTGAACAACGACCACGAAAAGTTGATAAGGGATAATAACTGACTACAGTTTGAAACTATAAAATGAAAATAAAAACAAGAGAAAACCAAAACATGCTGCGGGGAAGAAGTAGAGTTAATGGAGGATCCGTGGTTCGATCTTGAATTTGTGGATTGATCCGGTTCTTTTGATTGCATAAATTATTTTGAAGAAAGTGTTTAAAGTTGATCAACTGCTCTTACATTGTACTGGTGAACGTTAAGCATGCTCCTTTTAAAAGCCTCAGAGATCAGTGTTTTGAGGTGCGTATAGTATTCTAATTATAGTATGAATTAGGAATTCCAGGATTAACGCAATTGAATTAAGAAGACACAGGCACAACGAATGTACTGTATTTAGAATTCGAAATCGAGCATTCAACAAGTACAAAAGAATCATTAGTTAATTCAAACACCACATCCGCCACAGCTTAAATAGAAGTATAAGTGTTTGTAATCGGTTGTACGTCTTCTTGTTAAGTTCATCCTGAGTCTGTCCGACATTGTATAAGATAAAAACTTTGTAGTATCTAGAAAGTGCTCATTAGTATTGGAATTAACAAACGAAATCGGAACAGACTCACCTGGAATTGTATACAACCAGCATGTCGGTTTTGTAATGAAATCATTAATATCTAGAATTCGAACCATAGATTTTTCAACACTATCCCCCCCACGAAATAATGTTGGATGTTTATATCCCCAAGTTATGAATAATGTGGCTTCATTTAAAACATATATCTCACATTGTTTAGAGTAAACATTAGAACTGTTTTTGTGATAAGAGTAAACAGCAGTTGATATGAAATCATCCGAAATATAATAAAACTCGAGGTCACTTAGTACTCGTGCTTCGCATTGGGCAGGTTTTTCACGAAGATCAAATACATTATGAGGATAGGTAATATATGATATGACATCAGGATTTGATTCTTCTGAAATATTCTCATGAAATTCATCAGGACTGTCGTTGCAGAGTGTAGGATCGTTAGAAAAATCAGCATCTATCCAAACCACATCAGGTTTTCGATCATGATTAGGTTCATTTAACATATTTTCCTCAGAATTGCAAGTAATTTCATTAGAAATATGTGAATCATTAGGAAAAGTCATACTTGGTACAATAGCATGAGAATTCTGATAAATCGGTTGATTAGGAAATGTTGTCTCACAAGAATTCTGGAGTTCATTTAACTCTGAACTGCCATATGACTCTGCACTGTCTTTTGAAATCGTTGATAAAGATAAATGATCATCATGAATACTCGACTCAGTAGAATCAGAATTACAAGACTTAATATTAATTGCAGTAAGATGAACATTAGCATTACAAACTGACTGAACTTGTCCAATATCACGACATTTGAAGCATTTAGAATTATGAAATTAACATGAATTAGAAGAGTGGAACTTGCAACAGGACAAACACTGACCAAACTTGTCCCCATCCTCGTGAACTCCATCCAAATTCAATGAATTGTCTGCATAACCTTGAGTATGCACTAGGTTGAGATGACGTAGTAATGTAGTGGACTTTTTTATATCCTCATGAATCATTTTACGAAATCTTCCTCCTTTACGACATTTGAAATTTGTATAATTAACATAGTCTAGCAGTAGATCCTTGAGAGCTGTATAAGAAAGCGAAATGGGTTTTTCCGGCATAGCCAGAGTTCTTAATAAGCTGTATGCTTCTTTTCCAATGAATGTGAGGAAGTGTGCCACAATATTAACATCCTCATCATCTTCCTTGGTCATAGCCCAGATTTCGAACCTTTCAAAGTAATCTTCAAAAGCTTCTGAAGTTGAATGAATATCTAACTTTTCCATTGCAGGCTCCATCGCGACGCCAATATAGTATTCTAATTATAGTATGAATTAGGAATTCCAGGATTAACGCAATTGAATTAAGAAGACACAGGCACAACGAATGTACTGTATTTAGAATTCGAAATCGAGCATTCAACAAGTACAAAAGAATCATTAGTTAATTCAAACACCACAGGTGCGTTTGGAATGTAATCGTTTTGTGCGGCCAATGTAACCTGCCCCATAGAAGCAGGAAAATAATCCTATCTACCTTCACTTATTCTATTTTATATATAGCCGAGTGACCTTAGTCTTAACTAATGACATGCGCGGATAGGAGAGTTCAACTTTTAACTGAAGCTAAAACGACAGTAATCTCCACTAGACCGCTGATATTTACACCTATCTCCGGTCCTGAGCTTACCTATCTTGATATTGTTGACGAACTTCAAGATGGGACAAAATAAGACTGAAACATTTGTTCACTTCTAGGTAATATAAGTTTCAAGACCCTGAGATCATCACTAAAGACTGCTCATTAGCTGAAAAATCTGAAGTCAAGTATCACTTCCAACTCCCATCCTTTTGTTACAAATGTCACATGAAAATTTAGCAATCAGACAGAGCCGCTCTATGCCATTTCTACATTTATGTGAAAGACAGAGAACAAGATTTACATGATAACATGATCACTATATAACAACAGCCAAAATCAGGGATCGGATAGTGGTTATTGCACTGATTATTAAATCCGAAGGATACCCTACTGGACTCACTTAGTAATATATCTTTCAGGTGAACAACTAATGAGGTAGATCTAGCAGTAAAGTAATGTATTATGTAATGATTAGGTAGTTTATAATATTGAAAAGATTACTAACCGTGAAACACCCATTCAGAATAAAATAAGTGATAAAACAAACCGATAAGAGGAATTTGACTGCAGTCTGATGTCGGCTATTCACAAAAAAATTTTAAACATGTATGTCCACCAAGATTTGTTGGTATAAACGATCCTGAAGGAGATGCTTTAAACATTGAAAATGCTAGAAACCTTTAGTATCATATCATCAGAGAAGTTGCATTTTTATACTTTATCAGAGATGTGGAGTAGATATTTCATTCGGAACCATTAGGAACATCATTCGTCATATCCGATTATCAGTCAGAAAACATACCAGTATCGAGACCAACTGATTCAAACACTGTAGTTTGCCAGGGATCGTCTTCTAACTTTTCATGATTAAATGCTTCTAATGGTTGGCGACAATGGGAAATCTACCATATATTTTATATACCCACGATAATCTTAAGGTATTCAGATATAGTAATAGTTCTTCAAATGCAAAATAACGCAGCAAACCATTTTCAGACGTTCGCATCAATAAAGTCAGAAGAAAAGCCTTTAGCACTACTATTATTGTCTCCTACACCTGATGACAATGTACATTGAAAGAATTTTCAGACGTGTCGTCTGCGGAGTGTTTTCAAATGTTTGCGCTACACTCGTCAGAATGTTACTGGACAATGACACAGTCAGTTATGCTATTTTAATTTTCTTATAGAATTTCAGTTCCTCACATCCCTTCACAAGCTTTTCAATCAATCAAAGTCTAGCGGATCACTGTATATTACAATGAAACGATGTAAGTGTTTTTTCTTGTACTGTATGTTTTCCTACGTTTAGATGATGGACGAGTTAAACCTATTCCCAAGCGGGTTCAAAAAGTAAAGGATGTTCATGTAACTAACGAAAATAGCTGTCTTCTTCGAGCTACACTTGGAAACCAAAAAATTAGTACTGTGGTGAGTTTATAATTACTGTGTACTGGGCTTTGAAAATTATATTATGGAGCGACCTTTTATTCACTTCTTCGTTAGTAAACTGATTTTATTAAAGTTTTCCGGCAGCATTTGTGCAAGTTGTAGGTTTCAGCCTCCGTATTCGTCCAGTCCTACCTGGTGGCGGCAGTATTGTACCTAAAAAACCTAGATTGTTTTTAGCGTGTGTGACTCCACTGTATCATTCAAGTTTCGGTCCAAACAATTTAATAACTATTGCTTTAGAGTGAATGACTGTTAATTTGTATAGCCGTACTTAGTTGCACGTAAGTAATGCTTCTAAGTGTCCCCAAACGCCTTGGTATGGCCGAGAGCGGGGTGGGTTCGCCCTTCCTCTCGAAATACTCTCACACGGCCGCGCGTATACAGCCTCTGCCAGGGAAGTCCTACTCACTGCCTTCTCGTGGCGGGGGTGTTGTTTACGACAATGAGAGGACGAAAAGCGAATGTCCGGCGCTTTAACCGGATTCCAAACCAATGGTGCACATGGGCACCAGTATCCTGGGGGAATAAATGGCGTATGAACCAATTTTCGGTCACCGGCTGCCATGGGACTGCATCTCCTTACGATGCTCCACTGCCTTGTGGGTTAGACCTTTAGGTCAAAGGCTCGGGGTGTGGCCCCCTAAGAGAACCACCTGCTTCGGTCTGGGCACCCGGGCAGTAACGCAGCCGACACGCAATTAATGAACTGAAATTGTGTGGCGCGTATATGTTTTGCGCACTCTTGTACCAATATATATGTGTTTAAATAAATAAATAATGCTTCTAAGTTGTCTCTCATTTCAGAATATGTTGAATCCACTCACATACAATATTATGTGAAATACCTCACAGTATTAAAATTGCTAACATGGTTGTTCTGATGTTTGGTGCACTACTATTATTCGTCTCGTAAAACTCATTGGTCGGTACAAACCCAATGGTTGATACAGACATGAGGGTATCATATAAAAGTAAAGCGCTTCAACCTGTAAAAGTCATCCACCATTTTTAGGATGAAACTCGTGATATAATTGATCGTCTTGTTAATACGACATCGTTATAGTTCCAGGATTATTATTGTAGAAATAGTCGTTCTGCCTTAGATGGTGAAATAGCTCGTGAGTTATGATATGTTATTCAGATTCTAGATATCACTAAATGCTGTCTTCCCAAAGTTTAATGATATAACGATCCTCTTATTCAAGTGTCTTATTGAATAACCCATTTATTCATGTACTTAAGTCTCACTTCAAGAGTACTGGTCATTTAATTTTCTAGGGTCCCTGGATTTTGCTGCTTTTTCCTCTTATTTATCTTCCGTAATCTATATTACTTCAGTGTTAGGAAAGTGGTATTGCTAATTGTTGGACATTTTTACTGATTTCAACCAAACTCACTGATATTTGTCAGCTCGTTTTAATGTGTAAGGAACCGAATGTATCTATACCACTAAACTAGTATTGAGGATGCCATGTTCTTATTCTTAGTTCGTTTATTCGAACGGCTGGTTCATCAGCTTCTAATATCTAACTGGATTATATCTATATCGTCTATTCACTCTCCAGATCACTAGGGATTAGGAAATGGTAAAATGGGAAACTCGAAATATTGAGATCTTCTTTGGTAAAAATATAATTCTTATTATTTATTCAGTTAACGCACACGTAGGTCGCAAAACACTTACAAATCAGTTGGTCCATTGACTTGTGTTGCAAACCATGTTTGATAACGTATCAAGTCACGGAGTTGTATCACTTGTAAGGCCCCAACCGAGAGATGATGGGCTTGCAGATGTTAATCCTATTTCACTATTTATTATACCACCGTCTTAGCATCGGGAAATAAGGCAGCCTTTGAATACCGTTGTGATGACATTTGTATAAACATTACCGGGTTACTGAATTAGACACCAATTGAATTGTCATAACTGCCCAATATCACTTACACAGTATTGTCACTGGATACGAACAATGCTTGTGAGACAGTGCTGACCATACGCCCAGGTCTCCAAAAATTCTTAGCTCAAAGTGGTCAGGTTAGACAAGAATACGCTAGAATTACTGTCGACGGTACAAAACCTACCATATGTATTGTGAAGAACATCATGACGACCCCCGAGTGGCCAAAGACGCTAGCTCCCACTATATGTGTAGATCAGTTTGCCACTTAACTCCCCTCGGAATCTCATAACTATCCAATTATTCCTAACTCGTCACGAAATGTGGATACATACACCGGCTCCTGCATGTTTTGCAGCAATGTTTGGTGTTTCGAAAGTGTGAATGAAATGCCGTAATTAAAGACTGGAATTCCTAACTGACTAAGTACGATTTCAATAATTTGCACACCGCACATTAAAACGTTGCCATCCGCATACTTGAAGTCAAAGACCCTCTTCTAGTAACATCTACACCACCGTCATGTACTGCCTTTAGGGCTGTTTTCAGTGTCACTGACAACAAAGTTAGAGGCGAATGGTGAGATAAGGCAAACCTATCATATCTGCTACTGAAACGAAACAGTTAAGAAAAATGGCTATATGTTCTAACCTGCCTGATGGGTTTATGAAGAACCTTTAAAATGTTAACAAACTTCCTGGGGGAGATAAATATATAATCAACACGTCCATGACCTGAATAATACATATGTTCACTTCTCACAGACCAGTCCTCAGTTCAGCATAATCTATGGAGTATGATAAGCGTCAATCGTTTGGAAGAAATCAGAAATACACTTATACCCCCATAGGTGTTGAATAAACTAAGTGGCTCCTTTTTAAAGATAACAACGACGATCGCCATTATACTAATTATCAGTAACGAAAATAGATTTAAAAATATAATAAATCACAACCAGAGAATAAGAAAACACAAATTTAGGACTCTTAACGATATGATTCACAAGTACATGGAAGGAACAAATACATTTATGAGGTGTAAGACTAATCTCACTTTTCGAATTATTGGTACGAAAATTTGAATGCTTAAATAAAAGTTTCTGTAATTATTTGAAATAGGTTCACCAGAAGGACATGAATAGATTCAATCAAGCTTATTCCAATCTCCTGAAAGCTAATATTGATGGTTTGAAAAAACGTGATAAACGTGTAAAGTCGACAAATATATCAAGTAAACTCAATCGACCCAAGACAGAAAAAGGCTAATGCAATACATAATATTCGGGATTTTGACCAATTTCATCATACTTAATGTATTTATTTTCAGTTCTCTGTACATAATATTGTATTCAATTTCCGGTCATGTTGGTGATATAATAAAAATGTGGGTACCCTTAGACTTATCGTGTAAATTAAATAAATGGTAATGCTTTGTACATGTATAACTTCTGCCACCTGTTTAGTGGGCCTATAAGAAAACTAGAAACAATGCACTTCTGATCAACACCTTGATGTTTTTTGTACTCCGAAAGAGGTAAACTGGTAGTTTATATTTAATTCCAACTTACTACGAAATTGTCTAAAAAAAAGCAGTCATAAGCAAATTAGAAACCCATCACAAATGTCTAATACTGAAAGTTTCATTACTAGAGTTAGATGCATACCAAAGTACTAGTCCTATCAGTAATAGGTAGAGTTTAGACAGAAGTCCTCTAAGTTAGCAATGCTTTATCAACCAGCGAGATAGTACAACTCTAAGGGCACCTTGTGACTATCAGTTTGCTAGATATTTTCTGTTAATTCGGTATTACATCTCACACTAGAAATATACTTTACACCTCGGAGTCCTAGAAGCAAGTGAATATGCAGAGTAATCACATATGATATGTTTATCAGCTGCCCGAGTTGACAGGATGAATGTTCAGCTCAGCTACTTCCCTGGCTATGGGTCATTAGTCTTCAACAGATTACCGTAAGCTGGTTAAAGATAAGCTTACACCATTGGATACTAATTCAGTGGTCTAGAGGTTATGCGCAAGACCAAAGGGTCTTGGTTCGGCGCCCCGTCACGGAGTCATGAGTGTCCACTCCTGAGGAGTCTCATACTAGGATAAGACGACTGTCTAGTGTCTTCAGATTCTCGATGCTTGTTTAACTTATATCGGTCGATGGTACCAATGAGACACTCGAATCGCGTAGTCATGAGTGTTATTTTACTTGGCACACTGGAAAACATCTAAAAACTCCAAGATAGCCCCTTATCCTGGAATTTACTACTACCAATAGTATTTTGTAGTATATACTTAGGGTAACAGTATCAATAAAAGCTTGAAGGGTCGGGATATTGATTTATTTATAGAAGAGACTGAGTAAAAAAACCTAGGCTTTAGCATAGAGAACAAGCAAATGGCCAAACAAGAAGTCAACAGTTGGTTAGATCAGGGAAGGATAAACATAACGTGGTACAAAATAATTTGTATAATAATTGAAACGAGTTATCAACAAACAGAAGTACATATTGCTTCGAGAAGCTATTTGGTTGGTTCCGATTTTCATGACTAGTCTGTCATACAAATAGTCCCTATACTTGAACATCAATATTTGGTATTCATATTTACAAGTAGATGGAATTAAATTTACATGATTTGATAGAAACAAAGTTGTAAGTGCCGAATCACTGCGGTCATTATCATTCAATTCAGGACACTGATTTGTCACTATACCAAGAATTTAAAAGTTATGGTGATACAGAAATCTCGATGTGGTTGTGGTAAGCTCCAGAGGAGGGATTTTGTTTATTTTGCAAAGCTACTATTGAATTTCCATTAGGATGACTATGGATATTGGTATTTGCATTTCTGTAGGCTGGTTGTTCATCTTCGCAGAACTGTTCCAAACGAAAGTGGATTGTTGCAAAAGATGGTCGTTTATTTTCATCAGCTGCCCAACATTCTAGCATAAGGTCATATAATTCTGGTGGGCAACCGGGTGGTTTCGACATGCGGTATCCAGCATCCACTTGTCTGAGGACTTCAGCATTATGCATTCCTGGATAAGGAGAACGACCATATGTGACTATTTCAGTCAACAGAATGCCAAAAGACCACACGTCAGACTTTATGGTAAAACGTGAATAATTAGCTGCTTCAGGTGATGTCCACTTTATAGGGAATCTAGCTCCTGCATGTGCTACATATTCTCTGTTCTAGAATTTAAAAAAGAAATTAATAACAGCTTATAGAGGTTTATATAAATGGAAGTAAAAATGGGGATTATAATATCCAAAAATAAAGGTCTTTAATGACTATTTACAACAGCTTGAAATCCGACTAAATCAAATGCATTCGCGATTTCGCACATCAAATCAAATAAAGTAGAGGTGAACTAGGTGTATAGAGAAAATATATGATACAACATTGGATTAGGTTTCCAAAGCATAGCAGGGTGGAGGAGATCCATTTTTAACACAAATACATTCTGCTGACAAGTTTTATGAGCTAGAAGACTTAATCGCAGATCTCTTATTGTCATCCCATTGACTGTCTGGTTTGGTTAGCCAATGACCTATACTGAATGGAAAGGTATTCTCGGGAATCGGTCTATTTAGACCTATACTTATGATGCGTTGTCCGAAGACAACTGCAGGATATTGAGATATCTAACTGAATCAGGTGATCACGTAGCACTGTCAAAAATAATTCTAATTTCTGCAGTCACCTTTAGCGTGATAACTAAAATCCGTTCAATGAAACTAAACAAAATTGGCATTTAGATAGCGTCATGCACTTCAATGTAATCGTTTCATACCCATTTAGTTATTTTAGTCCGATTGCTCGGTGTAAAAAACCCAATACACCTAGGAAGATTTGAATATTTCACATTTTGATCACCATTAATGTGAACTGGTTTCGCGACATTTATAAATATATGATTGAGTATATCAGTGTGAATTTATGTGCTCAAGCAACTTCTAAGATAGGAAAGCCTTCACATTTTTGGCACCAAAACGAGTGATAAAAGTGAAAGCACTTTGGATTTACGAAGTTCAAAAAATAAATGCCTGGTAGTTAAAGACAATTAGGAATCGCTTCATAATACACAAGATTATTTTATCTAATGATGTTCGGAAAAACGTTTTCATTAGACATAAGAAAATATAGGTTGAAAAATACTACTTACAAATAAGTTACTTATCACAAGGCTTTAAACTATCTAAGTACATATACCAAAATGAACTATTAAATTCATTAAGTGCCTACATAATTGAATCTACAAAACGAGTGGAGGCAACTTAAGTATAAGGGGAATTGCAATCCGAGAGTTATAAATTATCGAGTATCAATGTCAATATCGATAAATATAGTAAAAAGTCATCGAGGTTAAAGATGGTTCCTACATTGAAAGCAAGCTGGTAAAATTCACACTTAACATTACACTACTTACAAGTAGGTGCAATAAGTAAGTCACTTATTCGAGACCAAAGTAAAAGTAACCGAACGATAGCTCTCTTTCACAAGATGAAGTTTATTTCTTCCCTATTTTCTACAGTTCATTGTTAAAAATGAAACAATTCCTCGTAGTGAAAACTGTTTGTAAAGTATATGGAAATAAAATCAAAAATTGCTAAAACATGAAACTAATTAACAGTGATAAAATGTCCGCCGATATCTATGAAACCAAGTTCAAACATATATTCATTCAATATACCAAAATGTAGTTTGTCAGAAATAGAACGTAACATACCTAGTAAATCTACAGAAAAAAAGAGAACCTGATCAGCATATAGAAACCAGGTCGTTAGATGAGCTGACATGAGACCCGATGCAGCCTTCAAAACCAACACCCATGAAGAACTATCAGAATAGGGGTTTGTGGAGATTGTAGTTAGATATTAACACCGTTGGATGCCGGCCCAGTGGTCCGGAGGTTAGGCGTTCGCGCACAAGACCGAGTGTCTCGGGTTCGAGTCCCGCGTAAGGAATCGTGGACGCACACTGCTGAGGAGTCCAATACTAGAACGAAACGGCCGTCCAGTGCTTTCGATCCACATAAAATAAATTAGAGTATTTGGAGGTGGGTCCGAAATGACGATAACACTATATATTATTTATATCAGCCCCCAAACGCCCTCGTACGGCTGAGAGTGGGAAGAGTCGACTCTCCCTCTCGGGGTGTGGCCCTCTAAATAACCACCTGCTTCAGTTTTGGAAACCAGGCACTATCCCAGCCCTCACAAAAATCGGATGATTTATGTAGCGCATATCTGTTTCGTGCCTCCTCGTACCAATGTTTATGTATTTAAATAATGAACAAAGTATTTATATCATCAATAGCAACTAAATAGTACAAGCCGGGGATATTTTAATTCTAGTCAGAGAATAGACTACTGGACATCAAAACTGTTAGAACGTTTCACACAAACCAAAAAGACATATCGATCCAAGTTGTCACACTTAATATCAGCAAAAATCAAAGAAAATAAATACATAAATATACATCATATGTGTATCTACATTTGAAAACGACTATTTAAACAAAAAATGAAACCTAGAAACAATAAATCTGATTAAAGATAATACATATTTAGCTCTATATGATTCATGTTCACCAAGCACATGTACTTCGAATAACAGATGAACGCAAAATAATGTTTTATTATTAATAATAATTATTATTACAATTAATTATCTACTTCGTCATCACTGAAAACATTAAACGATGGCAGGACTCATTGTGTAAATAAAACAAGTTAATGCATTAATTCATATTAACGGTATAATCACACTCTTGTAGAAAATCTTCCAACCACCACTTATTCTCATATAAAGGGTATTCATACAATTATTCTATAACAATAGGAAGCAGAAGTATTTGGGTTTTTTCTAAATCAAGAATCGATAAATCTACTGATTCCCGTGTAAATGGAATCCTCAAAAAAATTAATGTAAAGCAGTTCAAAAAGTACTTTTAACGACTGACTTTACATAGGTTTATATTAGTGTAAGGAATGACCGTTTTTCGAAAATTTAGAATAGAATTAAATGAATGGACACACCAATTGAATACAACAAATCGTTGTATAACTGAGGGATCAGTACTGTTTAACTCGTTTGGTTCCAGAATTCAAGTATACATATAGCCATTCCTGAATCTAAATGATTAGTTAGTTGCTGTCGATAATCAATAGAGCTTAATTTTCCAAAGTATTCAGAATCACAAAAGATTAGTAACACAATCCAATTTTAGGGATTAGAAGTTCTGATGATGAATCACTTTTAAATTATTGAAAAGCATAAATTTTCCCAGCAATGTGAATTGCTATTATTAATGAAAAAAATCGATATTTCTATTTGAAGAGATATTTTTTGTACACAACCAAATTACAAATGACCATCAATATTTTTCATCGTGAGAATCAATACCGATCGATCAAATACACACATCATTTTCCAAAACGATTGTGTAGGTTTAAGTAAACTTTCAAAGAGATGGAAATATATGGTTTTTTACTTTAACAAAAGAATAATTTATGGCACCTTTCAAAGATAGAGAAACAATAAACTAGTAGAAAACGTTTTTCTGGAACTTCTGGCATATGAACGTGCGAAAATGATGAATGGATTTCCATATGTTGTTTTTTCGCGGTTAGGTAAAATTAATCTAGATATAACGGATAAGTTCGAAGATATATTGCATCAAGTTAATTCTCATACATTACTAATCTGTGGTATTTATCCGACGAACTGGATAAACAATGAAAATACGAAAATAAATTGCTACTATCAGGATTTTTATTCTAAATAAAACTGAAAAGTGCGTATACGTGCAGTCAGACCAATAACCAAGTAACGTATGAACTAGTTTATTAAGTAAAGTCTATTCAAACGATATCATCTCTATACTATGCACTAATTCTTAAATTAGCTGACTTTCAATTCACGGTCTCCTAAAAAGTAGAATTCTATGTGTATACTATCGCTAAGGTTCAAACTATAAAGACGCTACTTTTTAATACTTTATATTTTCATTCGTTTTAGCTCGTGAAAACTATTCTCCGATAACTTAAAGCTTCAACTAGGTAAGTGTTAGTCCTATCATTTAATATTTCAGTTATAGTAAATATTAAATATATATATAGCTCTTGTGGGACAATTTAATGCTTTTTCTAGTATAAATGATGTAAAGATTATGGTATTTTATCATCCTGGTCGAGATGAAATAAGCTATAACGTGTTATCTACCCGGGTGGCAGGTCAAAACAGTGTACATACTGTAGCTTATTGAGTACGAAAGTCGACTTTTGAAAGTCAAGAGCAACACTTCAATAAGTAATTCACCATTCATTCGTAATTGAAGAAATCTTATTGTTCCTTCTCTACTTTTGATTGATGATAGTAAGTGGTTAGAACATTTTTCTGTTTAACGTGATAGGCTTAAATTATTGTTCAATATTTATTTTAATTTTAATATAAACAAAAATGGAATTTCTCTTTGTTTTCTGCCCAAGTGTACGTTGTGGGTTGGTTCTTTAAGATTATTGAACATGTACAAAAAATCCGTGTAAATTTAAAACAAGAGAAAACATTAATTTATATGTACGATTGTTTGTTTATTATAATCCATTATTTGGTTAAGTGTTGAACCAACATTATTTAATAATTGATAGCGACTGTGTTCATAATATTTTTCTGAGAAGCGAGTGGTTAGTGTTTCGTCGATTGACAGTGTCAGCTTAAGCTCTTTTTTGAATCATTCTACTCATATAAGTATGGCGAGTGAACCCATGAGTGATAAACGAAGTAAGAATTTCTAGGAATTAGTCATAACATGGGTACAGACGAACATTAATATGTAAGTGATTCTCCAAAATGTATTATTTAACTACTAATAAGTGAAAAGAAATAAGTAGAATATACAGTACAGGTCACAGAGAGAAGGTAATGTATAAACATGAATAAGACAAGAGTAGACAAATAAAGAAGGCACCATCAACACCAGCCAAGCCCGCATTATTTTCTTACTTATTCTTATTATTCAAAACAAAAGGGCAACTCTACAACACGATAGTTTTGGTGATCAATTCTAATTGACATCTAATAAATAAATCGTGAAATCCCACACTTTTGCTGAAGGATTCCGGGGATTTTTATTGTACCACGAGTCAAACCACCTCTAGTGAGTGCTAATCATTGTACTTACTATGTTAAACAGACAAACATAAATCAGAAGCGTAATTGTTTAAAATCCATCGGTAAAACTAATCGACCATAGCTTAAAACAATACGGTTAGTAATCAGTTGGCCATTGGGAATATTAAGAAATTTTAAGACGTAGGTACACAACATATAAATAGATTGCAAAATCTATTCTTGATAAGCAAATAGATACTTGTCAGAGATTCACAAAGATTAGAATTAAGGAGTGTTAATCAATTATGTGACTGCGTACAGTTCTGTGAACGATAGTTATATTAGTTTAATTGGAATAACAAATTAATTGACAACTCAAAATGAGCATAGAAAACCAGCTAAACAAACATTTCTAGCTAAATTATATCTACCATGTTCTTTCAGTAACATAGCAAAAACACTTAAACATAGATTGATAAGAATACTAAGAAACTACTGAGATTTTGTTTGAAGTGAAACTTTTCACTAAAACATTAGGAAAAAGACGAATAGAAATGTTTATTTCCACTTGATTTTCCACCATACCTTTGCACGAATATACATGTTTCACAATTATATTAAAATCAATACCAAGTCAGGTGATCGTGTAAGTTATATGACAACCTTTATGGATTTGAAAGTTTTTAATGAAATAATGACGAATGATTAGAGAAGTATAACCAATGTGCAGGGTTAAACAACTATTTTACAATCTCCGAGAAAAATGTAATAATTCGAACTTTCGAGAGTTTTCAAGGTCATTCAGTAGGTGGATATTACATAATTTTCACGAGGGATCTAACTCCCAGACTCTAAAGTTATCGATATCTGTCTGCTATGGACATAATACTGCAGAGCATCCCGAGATGATGAATAAAAAAATGTCCGAAAATGGTTCATACCATATCGTATATACATTGAGCAGTAAAAAGCGGGTACATAAATTTCTGCAAACTAACTGAACAGAAATATTTATTTTAAAAATAAACATCCATTTTTAGAAGTTTTTATAACCAATGACTGAACACACACTCAATTTGTGAACAATCAATGTAAAAGAGAAAAAAATCGTTACGACAGAAAAGTTTCCCATTTATTTGGAATTAAAATCAGTGTCAACGTATAATACTGTGAAGGAAGATATAACAGTTATTTTCACACAACAATAAACACTAGTAATGTTGATGGTGACTATGAATGATTACGAACAATTATCGATAAGTTGAAAACGTCATAAACAAGAATAAGTACTTCTTCTAACATGTACTACCTTCGTCTAGACAGCAATATCACCACCAGCCCCAATCACTATCATAATTTGCAAATAAATCGTACACCAAGTACTGACTTATACTACTGATAATTGCTATACGTATTTTTATCTTTTGAAAATTATACTTAAATGGATAGAGATAATGGAATATTTTAATAAATGCAAGTGAATCTGTGGGAAAATCAATTGAAGCTGATAGTCATAAACTCGTTTATATATATATATATATATATATATATATATATATATATATATATATATATATATATATAAAACAAAGCAATTAGTTGTAATTTACTGTGTCTTTCAACTCCTTAACAGGTTATGATACACATACATGAACGCACAAACACAACATTTTAAGCGGCGAATGGATATTCATCATACGGTCACTATAAAATAAAGAGGTAATAATCACATAAACATTTTTAAACAACACTAAACACACAAAATGAATAGAGATATACAGAATAACAGAAGCAAAGAAAGAATAAAAACAAGATGATAATAAAAAGGAACAAAACATGATAGTGACGACTGATCATGAAAGCAACATACAAAATTGTGTATGCACTTATAAATATAGGCAATTAAACAACATGTTCAATGTGAACAATGTATATTTAATACCTTATGATTTGACAGGCAGAGAAAAGATGAACAGTAAAATAAGAGAGTCAGAAATTATTTTAAGCCAACATTTTTATAAAGTTGCTTCAAACATACGAAAAATCTATTATTATCTGTAGGATAAGTCTATGCAATACTACGATTCTTTTTAGACACTCAATATAAAACGGTTCTTCTATCACAGTATTCTACTTACGATAACTATTTAATATATATATATGATTGTTGTGAAATACTAACAATCTGATGGTTAGATTGATCATAATATAATACTAATCTCAAAGTTTCTAAAAACCCCTTGTCTGATCTCATTAAAGCACATGAAGCAAACGAAACATTCCCAGTTTAAATTAAACTTTTATTATACAATTACTTGATATAGAAAAAGGATACAGTTATGTCAATGAATCATTCACAATCAAAATACAACGAAAGAAAATATCAAGTCGGAATTCTGTTTTGGTAAGCAAAACACATACATACATATGAAAAATTTAAATACGTGAATTACTTTAATTTGGATACTGATGTGGGAAAATGATTTTGTGTACAAAAAGGTACATGTAACAATTTTGTAACAGAAATCATCTTGGTAGCTTGAGTAGACTTTAACTGCTAGGATATACAAAATACATCATCGTTTTTTTTTAATAAAAAAAGTGGTTTAAACAACCTGGTTGTACACAAATGATCAATTAACATGAAACCTACCAAAAAGTACACCCGTCTCATTAAATAGTTCTAGTGAAGCGATAAACAAGCATAACATTACAAAAAGATGAACAACGGAAGAATATGTAACTATGTATAAGATCGTAGTATTGCTTTTGCAATCGTAGATAGATTCATACCTGGACAACTACTATTAGATAAACGTGTACAGTACTGCAGTCATTAACAGACACAATGTAAGGAACGGGTGAGACGAATTGGTCTACTTGAAATTTTATCTTTTTCCTCTAAGATGTCATGTGAAAATATATATTCTGACGGGAAATCAACGTGATTACATTTAACAAACTTATCGATTAAAAAATTCTGCTGACGAGAAGTATAAAAGTGAATTACATTATGAGAAAAATTACTGAAGTGTATGATTTCAAAAAGTATGCATCTAATAAAATAAGATTATCCTACGAATGTTCAGTAAATCTCTTCAAGCTTATTCGCACTGAAATTACTCGAGATTCAAAGTAGTATATTACGTCACAAGAGGATGAATCTGTGGCCTACAACACCCTAACCTATGAGGCAATGAATTTTTCTGACCAGTGTCTGGTACCTTCCACACATAAAAACACTTATCTGTATGAATAACACAAAAAGATACATTTAAAAACAATTTTCGTCACTAACTGACAATGATCGAAAAAGAAATTAGTTTCAGAGAGTACTGTACGGCCGTTTCATCTCACACAGTAATAAACAGGTTCAAATTCGATGAATTCAGGTCTTACAGACCGAATTCAACATTTGAAATTTTAAGTTATTTGTGAGATCTTAAATCAAGATAATGGGTGAGTTACTGACTTTTTATGTAGATGATTGCAGATCATGGGTTTTCATTGAGACTGTCAAATTAACCCTATTTTTATAGAATTCCAGTATTTTAGTGTTTGAGGGTTCACTACTTTTTATTTCTAATAGCCTTCATGAAATTTCTCTCTAGTATAATAGTTATTAGTCTAAATACGACTCTCTCGCTTGATAGATACGAAAAACTTTAAAGTGTATGACAGTGTAAACTACATTGGTTATATGCTAACGCTACTAAAAGAAAATCAAACACAAACACAGAGAGGCAGGGAAACTAGTTCGCCAAATACTAAATACTGTAATTCATCTAGTATAGAAAATTTAAATCATAGAAACAAGTCAACTAGTACAATTATAAATAAACAACCAGATTATAAGAACTATGGACAGTAAACGAGGACTGAATTCGAGTTTTCACCCTGCTGTGAATATACAAAATAATAATAAAGCACAGCATGGCTAAATACTTACTTGTCAGGTAAATTAAATAGAGAATGGTATTATTTTTGGGTAATACGAAAAACACGTGGTAATTAAGTAAAGCTGTACATGTTATCTTGGGGAAAAATAATCTAAGATATCTTTAAAAGGATATATTATTTTCGTGATCATTTTAACGATAATTTCGCTGAAAATTTATTATTCATACAACTGGTGAAATTCAAATGTGTGAGTTAGAAGCTACAAGAAGCTTGGTATCTAAACCTAACCACAACCAGGTAATGAAGACGTGGTAAGTAAAGTTGGTATTAAAACAAACTAGTAGTGAATTAGGTATCTGAGTGAACAAGACAGTTTTTTAATTATGATGTGATTTCTGAACTTTCTATGAACCACAAATAAATAGGGACTACAAATGGGACAGATGAAAGAAAACCACATGGAATTATAAGGGTCACGTTATACTAACCATCATAAAACAAAATGAGGCTTAAAACCGAATCTTAAGAAATTGTCCTTAGTTAATGAGTTGTATTTATTAATTTTATTTCTTGTTACACAAATAAATAGTGACCACAGAGGATCGGATACTTGTTACGTAGCGCTGGAATGAAATTTCTACCGGTAAAAAATGCCACGATTGTTTTACATGGGATAACACTAATTAAACCCCATAATCCCTAAAGATTGCTTAATTTATATTAAATGATTATAGAAACCATCATCAATTTATTTAACAAGTTATGATTAAGGAGAAACACAATTGAACAATTAGTTTCTTGATCACTGTTTTCTTTTTCATTCATTCCGATAAGAAATGAAAAATGATCAAAACGCCCATCAAAACAATTCTTTTGATGTATTGCATAGAGGGATTATCAATACGGAAAAAGGAGAGAAAATGAGCAAACCACAGATAAACGACTCTTAATGACTAACATAAAAATGTGATATATACGAAGATGCTTATTAGTTACTAGTCACGTGTTGAGCAGGTGTTTACACACAGATTACGGACAATGCATGTTTATCCTTATTGATTAAACACCAATAAAAACAGACAGATTTGACATTTAAGCGATTATACACCATATCATAGTCAGTCAGTCATTCACGATGTAAAACCTAGCACGTACGTACATCGCTTCAAATTGCCATAGCCCGTTAGCACAGAGAGATTTATTTATTTACTATTTATTTAAATACAAACATTGGTACAAGGGGGCACCAAATACATATGCGCCAAACAATAACAATGAGGCTAGTATTAGTTACCATTGATTTGTGGGAAGGCTATGATACTGTCCGGGTGCCCAAACCTAAGCGAGGATAGCGAAATGAAATTGTGGGGCTAAATTCCAGAATAGTGAAGGTAGTAACAGTATCAGTTTTAGTAAGAAAGACTAAGCATTGAAGATACGATTTGAGAAAATACAAATTTGTAAATGTTACCAATTTCAACGAGTGTAGATTAGAATGAGGCGATCTAAGGCGGAAACGCGAAAATTCGACCTACTCACCTGTTAGCTGTTCAAAAACACTTAGTGCTGAATGTGCTTTACTCGTTCATCCATCTTCCTAGATTTCTTTTACATATAAATTGAGTTTTACAAGCCCTATCCTCTGGTCTCATTAATCATACATTCTATATCATCTGTAGACAATATGTTTCTTTTTTACCATGAATTGTTGACATTTTTTAAAAAACGTAGATGCATAAATCGTCACATGTTTGGAATATTAATATCTATCCAAAAGTAAGAACAAATTCAGGTAGGTGTACATGCGACACCACAAAGATCATTAATTCATTGCACCAATTATATTTGTTTACGTACTACCACATTTCTTTACAGTTGAGATTTATTTGAAACGTTATTGCTGCGATTTTATTTTGAACATCACATCTTGATATTATTTACATTTAAAATAAATACCCGTAACTTCTGTTGACCTATATATACCCGAGTATACTTCCACATACAGTGACAGAAGTAAAAGGCATCACAAATAATGAGAATCTGAAAGCTTAGATGATAAGTGAACAACCAAGTACGGCACACTGCTTATCATTTGTTTGAATTACCAGCATACATTAATCAAAATTTGAAATTCTGTAATACACCAAATGGTCTGTTTAATTTTTTTAAATATAAAACGATGATACGTTTATTGTAAATTACTTCGGAAAAACAAGTAGAAATAAGTAAAATGAATAAATCCCTAATATACTTAAAGTAATAATTATTTCAGTGACCAGTACATAGAATATGAGCTACGGGGTCAGTTTTAAAGAAAAAATTTTAAAAGCAACTTTACTGAAGGCACCCGATCAGTTCATTACTATAGGCAAGTCCGACCACCACATCAGGGTAGCAGGAACGGTCAAGTATTCTTTTCTTATCTGTAATCAGATTAAGTGAAATGCATATTGCTTGTCTTTTATTAAATTGTATATTAGACGTAATTATTATTGGAAATTCCATTCATTTATTTTATCGCTTAATACTGTAGTGAAGGAGAACACAGGTGAGGACAACTGAATTATATTTACCACAACATTACAGAGTTACTTGGTAAAATAGAAAAACCATACTAGAATACCTAATTTGAAAAATGTTCAATAATTGACTCGGAATTCATAGTTCTTGCATTTCTATACAAATTGCTTTCTATTCCCGTTCTTCCTTTCTTGATCTTCCCAATCTTCTGCTGCCAAACATTACATTCCTGACTCGCGTTATATACTACTTATGTCAATATAATTAGCACGCACCACAATACTATTGGTCAGATTGATAACTGATAGATACAAAAACAGAGAATCTGTTCTTAGTTTTGACTTTTAATTGACTTTTCCCCTACCTATTTAATAAATCTATTCATTACTTAACATTTTAATTTATGTTACGAATACAATTCAAATAAGTAATAATTT